TGTTGGTTAGAAGCATCTCTGATCCAACTGAGCGCCTCACATCATCCCAACAAAGACTGACAGCTGCTGCATTTTTAAACGCATGTTCTTTATTTTCAGACTGAATTCCCTTAAACTGTTTACATTTTTTCACTCAGAAAAGCTGGGATTACAGTCCTTCTAGAAGATTTTAAAGCCGGTTTCATACTGTTGCAAACTATGTTTTATTTTTTGTTAAATTGCTTGAAAATTCTTAAATTTTCAGCCTCACACCTTTTTTCATCCAGTTAAATGCTGTCAATGTGCAAAAATATAAAGTTTCCAAACATGTGATCTGTTTTATTTTTCTTTTATCATGAACAGTAAACATAGCTGCTTCTATGTAATTATATTGGAACTCACTTATCCAACCAAAAAAACCAAACTAGTGCAAATTAATATAACTAATATAACCAAGTTACTACTGTACATTTGCTATTTTTTTGAAGAAGTAATCAGTGACTATAACTAGCTACTTTTTTAGACTAACGTTCCAAATATTGTTGGCTAAAATAAGTGTGCAGTTTAACACCTCTTCCTTAGCAGCACCACATACTGAGATATTTATTTCTTCTTTACTGATCCAGTATGATGATCCTCTATTTATCAATCATCACCTCACTGAAAACGGTTTGGTCTGGAGTTTACTTCATGGATTCAGAAATAGTGAATGATTTATATGGGAGCATCTAGAGAGCAAGAAAAAATGTGATGAAAGTTTTCCATCTAAGGAAAACCAGTTGATTGCATCGACTCATTGACTTGAATGCAATCTCTCTCACTAAACATGCTTGTAGCGACAGTGGAGAGGAAACACTCCCTTTTAACAGCAAGAAACCTCCAGCAGAACCAGGCTCAGTGTGAGCGGCCATCTGCTGAGACAGAAGACTGAAAAGTACTTTTTTATAAATATAAAAATTACAAAGATAAGGTGAATTAAAGGTATCCTGACTGATTTGGCTTTTGAAACTTCTCAACACAATGGTTTCTCTTAACAACCACAGAATTGTGATTCTTATTGTTGGTGCTTGCAAACAATATAAACAACTTAAGCAGTAGGAGCTATGCTGGAGATTTTAATTTTCAAATAATTAATAATTACTTATTGATTACGGACTCAAAAAAAAAGCCTTAGATGGTCTGAGGCAGAACTGGGGTGGGGGATGTTCAATTTCATCACCTCTGAAAAAAGCAGTTCTCCTCAAAACCAGATGGCGGCAGCTCTTATACCATCATGTAGAATGTCCTACTCTGAAACTTTAGTTAGTATAATAACTAGTGTTGCACTGATACCGATGCCAGTATCGGGCATCGGTATCCAGCACTAAAATGATGGTGTCGGTATCGGCGAGTACCAACAGATAGGGCACCGATACCATTTTGAGAGCTAAAAGTTTATTCAACTAGTGTCCCCCATTTCATGTAGGCAATAAAAAGTTCTACTGGATTCACTTTGTATTAGTTTTTCTCCTGCTTCTTAAAGGTAGGCAGCAGCTTGACAAAGCCATGATGGCAATTATTTTACATCCAAGTAGTTTGCAGTTCTTCATATATACACAAAAACATCAATTTCAAACAGATGGGATCTGTATTGGCCGATACTGAACAGCCAGGTATTGGGGCCAAAAAATGGCATCAGTGCAACACTAATATTAACCCAAACCAGACAAAAGCAATTCATTATTCACAATTGAAGATGACAAATATAAAATATATGCTCTATAAACAATTAGTCTTTATGTGGTAGAGCTGTTTGTCTCAATTCCCAGTAGATCTCATGTCTAACCATTTATTATGTTAAATAACACTGATGTTTAAATATTTGGGTAGCTTACTTAGGAAGGGCTTTAATGAACTCTGTTGTGTTTTTAGTGAATTATTCGGAAAATATAGATGTTGTTCTTCATTCATTTCCCTGTTTGTTCACTGTGATCAGTATAGATTGACCGTAAAATGTTTTTGGCTTCTATCAGTTTTCAGCCACTCCTCAGAGGACATCAGTCCCTCCCTGGACATATGAAGTTTCCTCCATTGATTGATCCAGTGGTAGCATGAAGATAAATAACTTCTGAACTCCCTGAGAATTACAAACTTGGTCTGGAAACTCTGATTTTTATTGGACTCCAGCATTTGTCAGGTGATGAAACAACCACTGTTTCTGAAGAACCAGAAGCAGGAGTTGGCGTTTAAACTTGGCCAGCTCTGCAGCACTTCCTGCTGCTCCTCACGCTCTTTGCTTTCAGCGACAAAGATAATAAAGCTGAGTGTATCAGCGTTTCGGAATCCTCTTTTCTCCATTCTTCATATTGATGCAGGAACAGAAGCAAAACTCAGAACCCCCCCCCCCCCCCCCCCCCCCCAATCACCAATAGAAATTACATCATTGAGTGAGAGCAGCAATACAATGTGCTGACCTTGCAGTTTGTCTATTATGAGCTAGCGGCTAACATTAACAGCATTGGGCTGCGAGTCAGTGTGTGTGGTCGTTAACGAGGATTACAGGCAAAGTATTTTCCCGGCCAGAATATATCGGTTTTGGACTTTAATCATGCAGAATGACCTGAACAGAACCTGAGCAGCCTGCAGAGTGTCTGCAAACTTTCAAACATTGACATGTTTTTTTGTTTTTGTGGTCAACAAGTTCCAGTATGTGTGCCTCTTTTCAAAAATAAAAATGACAACTTCAAGTCCTGCTTTTGGTCTGATTCATTTCTGTGGAGAATATATATGAATATATTCTGCCATAGATACTGCACTACAAAGCAAAACAATGTTTATCTAAGATCTATGACAAATAGAAATGTAGAAAGAAAGAAAATAAACACAAACCAAACATGATAGAGAGAGGAGATAAATATTCATTCCGAACATTAAAGCCCTGATCTGATAAGTTAGAAAAACAATCAGTCCTTAAAGCTGCAAGACTGAAGATGAATCAGGAACAGACACCTTGGTTTTCCAGAACTCATAAATAGTCATTGATTGAACCAATAAATAAACATTACACTGTTAAGAAAAGTCTGTATGCACACATTAAAATCACAATTAATAACATGTATTTTTAGTACTTTTGATGATATATCTATAACTATATAACTACCATATCTCCCAGAGGCAAAACTTAGAAGTCCTTCAAATAACTATTAGATTTGCTGCATAAAGACAATCTGTTTTTCTTTGACATCATGGAGAGAAATTTGTTCAACTGTTACGGCAAAAACACTATATTGCTGCAGAAGGAGTGGAAGCTCGCCAGCTTTTCATTATAATCTGCCGGACGTCGCTGAGCAACTGTAGTCCTGGTCCAGATGGAAAAATTGCACCGTTTCATAAAACGAAAGCACCACAATGGACGACCTTGAAAATGTTCAATTTTCATTTCTTCCGAATTCTCTCGCAGCTGCTCGATTTCCATGTTCCTCTGCATAGCTGATAGCCTTCAGTTTAAACTGTGCTTCATAGACGTGTCTCTTTGCCATTTTTAGGGTTAAGACAACAATGTTCTGCATAAAGCACATACCTGTTCTTTTATACACAAGCCACGCCCACACTTCCCCCTTTAACGTTCTCACATACTCATGGTGGTCTCAACAACGTCCGCAGATAGGGCGCACCGCACCATAGGGCGCGCCGCACATTTTAAGGGGAAAAAAAGACGTTTATATGCGCCTTATAGTCGTGAAAATATGGTAAATGGAAAGTTTTGATAAATGCAATCCAGGTTGCAGGTCTTGAGAGGAACACAAATGTACTTCTTGTTTTTTTTGTGGGTTTTTTTTTTTTTACAGCTGCTTACTTTCAGCCCAATACAAATCCTCACTCTTGTCCAATGAAAACGTTAATGCTAATCATGGAGACCAATAGAAATGTGTCTTTGTTCCTAGCTGCTGAAATCATTTCACTGATCTAAGCTGCTGCTGATGCTTCAGGGGTTCTGCTCAGTTTAAGTGGAAACCATGAAGTTTATTCCTTCAGATATGTTGATGCCTTGTGCTGTCTGATAAAATGTTCTAT